GAAAGAAACTTTCTTTGATAGGATACCCAAGGCATACCAGGTACTGACTCTAAATATTTTAGAGATAGCAACTGATTTTACTGTCTCTTAATAGTTATCTCCATAATGTATATTAATTCATAAGTCAAAATAGCTCAAATGGCTTCCTGAAGACAGTACAATTAATATGGAGAGATAACCTGTAACTCACGGCTGTTTGACTTCCAAGGCTTTGTTTTTAACCACTATGTTCTACCATCTCAAAGAGGCATTGCATTTAGGAGCTACTATTACATGCATTATTAATTCTAAGTAAAGAACAATTACTCCTACATTACAGAATAAGCAAAGGAGGTCTAGATGGATTAAGTAACTTTCATAGAGTTACACTGCTTGAAAGTTCTTAAACACTTTGAGGCTGAAACCGAGGTTCATTTATGTTGATATATTCACCACTGTTGGCACTGCTTCTTTGCACAAAGCCCTTACTTAATAAATATTTTGGAATAGAGTGGAATTAAAGAATATTAAAGACTTTACCAGCCAAGAGTCTATTTTCTCATGAGAGAAATTCTGAGTTTCATTCAGGACATCAGGATTCAAACCCACTTATGTATAAGTCTAAGCCCAAGCTTTTACCACCACGTTATGTTGCCCCTATTCCTCCAGCGGAGAAATTATAAAGTTCGAGGGAGAGATGATAATCTATATTTCTGAATAACATAAAAATGAAACATGAAGAGGATAAGTAGAATGCTCAAGGCAACAGATATAGAAAGCATCATGGCCCAAATTCTTCTGGGGACCAGGAACGAGTTCTTATTCACCACCACATCTCCTTCAAACCTCACATAGCTGTTAGCAAATAATTCATGGATAATGAATATTTTTGAGATCAAATAGTCTCTGAGTATCTAGTTCTGGGATTCAGGATGCTAATGTGACCCCTTGGGGGTGCACTTACTGGTTTTACTACAGGTTATCCAAGGATATCTTGGTTCATCTGAAGTCTTAAGTTAGGAATGGTAACTCCAAAAGGGTTCTTGGAGGATGTGAGTATCGAGTGGAAACAAAAGGGAGAATAATGAAGATCAGAGGCAGAACCACAAATTGGGGGAAGTAAGAAATCTCAGCGGAAGGGAAAGATATAGGAAGAATGGAGGATGAGGAGTTCTTCTCCAGAACAAAGGAGGCCTCCGCCAACCATTACTAAACCTAGGCTGGCGAGGGCTTCTTTTTAACATTGAAGACATGAGGAACCAGAAACTGATTAGGTGAGGGGTCTTATTTAAGACTGCAGAGAGATTACCACAAGTAGCCAAACCCAATTTCATGGGAAGCCCGTGTTCAGCACCAAGGACAGACCCGCCAGCCAGGACTGATGCTCAGCTAGTGAGACCTTTACAGGGACGAAAGATAGATCCACCCAACCAGGATTGATGCTGGTGTGAACTTCCATAAAAGTCTGAACTTTTACAACCACCAACTACATGTGCCTATAATTGTAATCTTATCCTCTCAGTAACTCTATAAGGAAAAATGGCAGTATCTCCATTGTACTGATTTGGAAACTGATGCTCATAAAATGCAAGGAGTAGCCCAAAATCATATCACTGGAATGAGCTATTTCTGGATCTTGGACTGGTGTCTGATTCAAGAGACTGTGAAAAGATGACTGAACTTACAGCCTGGAACCATTTATTGTAGTACAAATTCTACTTAATGGCTGTGAAAATGAATTGGTGTATTCACATCCCTGAGCATCAATTTTCCAACCTATATAATAAGTGCAGTAATGTACACAATATTTATTTGTCCTGAGGATTAAATTAGCTCATATTCTTTATGCTTTCGTACAGAACCTTAAGATCAAACATCTCCCAACATCTACAAATCTGCAAATCTGGCTTCTCAGAAAACTCTGATTCTCTTCAACTAGGAAAAAAATAAAAGCAACAAATTCTTTCATGAATGAAGTTCCTCAAGCTTCCTATTTAGACAACTTGAGAGGCTGTCTCTCAAAACATCTTCCATCTCTAACATTTTTGTGCAGAGTAGGCATATTTCTACTAAAAATTTGGCAATATTGATTTTATCATTAGTTTGTCCAATTTAATATTTTTAAATGTGAAGTGGAAACTCTACTAGAACTAAAGATATAAAAAGTCATTAGAAGATGTGGAGAAAAGGAAAGATTTGGATTCATAGAGCCCTCAGTTTGCATCCCAGTTCTAGTAGTCATTGCTCTGTGTCTTGGGAAAGTTGCTTATTACTCTGGGCTTGATTTATCCCTGAACAATTGGAGTAGTAACAGCATCTTCATGGAGGTTTGTGAGACTTTAAAGAGATAAGCATGGAATACATTTAGCACTGTGTGTGGCACGCAGAAAGAACTTAACACGCAGTAGTTATTACTATCACTGTGATTATTATTTAGCATTTAGAATGTTGATTGTTATAATATTCAGAAAGAATGGCTGCACGTGTGGATTAGAATTATTCTGTTTTGTCCCCATTTCCCTTTTTGGCGATTATGATTTTGAGCAGATTGTTATTACTTTCTGAACTTCAGCCATCTTCCTAGTACAATAAGGATAATGATAGCATTTTTTACAGGGTCCTTGAGAAAAGTGAGTAAAATAACATATAAAATCCCTGGCACTGTGCCTGTAAAATTAAAGGAGGAACTTAATAAACCCTATGATCATTGCTGCACTTTTAGTTGTGGCAAATGACTGTAAAAATCTTAATTTCCCAAGGCTTCATGTGCACTGGTCCTTGGACACTCCTACATTCTCATCTCCTGATCTTCTTGCTCCTAAGCCCAACAGAGAAGACTTCCTCATGATTCATGGAATATGCCATTCCCTTCTCACCCAAGGGCCTTTGCACTTGCTATTCCTTCTGTGTACAATGCTGTTCACCTCACTTCTGAGCATTTCTGGACCCCTCTCATCTTCCAAGCCTCCATTCAAATATCACCTCCTCAGGGTCATTTCCCTCATGGCCTGAACTAATGTAGCCAGTACCACCTCCACCTTCTCACTCTCTGGAATCAGGTTGGAATTCAGATTTTGTTTAATAAAGTCTGTTTCCATCTATACACACTGAACTTCATTGGAATAGGCACATTCCCACTGATGGACCAGCACAGCCTTTTCTCCATCAGTTGGTGTTAGATTTTCTATTTCACCAGAGTTTTTGTGAAGAAGAAATGAGTTAACACATGGACATTCTTAGTACTGGGTCTGGCACACAGTGAGTGCCCAATAAATGTTAGAGAATGTGCCCACAAACATCACAGTTTGTTAAATGGATCCAAAGCCCTCATCATGCACTCCCTGTGTCCACATTACATGCAGGTGAAACGCAAATGCATTGTTGTCCTTGTGGTCAAGGTCTTTCCTGTTACAGTACTGCCAGTGATGCATTATGCTCATCACAATGAAACTATTGTACCAGGCACTATGCTAGGATCTGGGAATTAGCACACAAATCAGGTGTACCCCAAGACATCACGTCCTGGGGGAGCCGAAAAGATCTCTAGTATGAAACTGGTTGTTATGCTGCATCCACACAAGACACTATTCTCCAGCTATTAAAATCGTTGGGGTCAGCTCTGTGCTGATGTGGGAGTAGTTTCAAGCTATATTACTAATGAAAATTCGAGATGGAGAAAGCATGTCTAGTATGCTACTCTTTATGTGTACCAAGACCTATGCACCTATACACGAGAGTGTTCACCAGAACTATCTCTGGAAGTACACCCAGGAAACTGGTTTGGTGGTTGCCTCAAGGGGGAGGGTCAATGGGGTAAGGTGTCAGGGGCAAGAGCAACCCCTTCTGAAACTCCTTGTCTTTTTACCGGCTTGCTTGTTCATTGTCTCTCTTTTTCACAAGAAGTCAGCTCATTACTGATGGGTACTGTCTCTGTGTGTTCACTCATGTATTCCCAGTGCTGAGAGTATAAAGTGAAGCTCAATGAATGTCATTGAATGAACGCTGTGTATGACACTCTATAATCAGAAGGACTCTCTTGTTGGGTTATTTGCCAGCTCTTTACTCTCCACTCTACTTCTCAGGTGTAGAAGACTGTTCAGGCTTGATTGTGGTGATGTGGTACAACGGAATTAAACATCACTGAAGTCTGATCCAGCTGTTTGCTTCCTGGCTGTCTGGTCTTGGGCAAGTGAATTTACCTGTTTGAGCTCTATGCCTGCTTTGTGGCACAGAACCAGAAAATATAACTATGTTTTATGGCAGGTTACTGATGCATGATAGGAACTGTATAAGTGCTAATTATGAATTATAGAAATGTTAGTTATGAGAGTGTGTGCCCCAATCTACATTAATAATTTCCTCTGTGAAACTCAACTTTCTGAAATATATCAATGAGGAAATAACGCCTATATCTGTGTGTGTTCACAGAGATTGGGTACAACAAATGACGTTTCCAACCTTCTGCTGAAAGGCATGTCAATTTTGTGGAAATTCTTCCCTCTTTGTGCTTTTGGAACATTATCATTGGTGACTCATAGTCTAATACAATTCTTGAAATAAATTTGCGTTAAGAGAAGAGGAACGTTTTCAAAAAAGAAAGCTGACAGTCTTGCTCTACTCTAGATTTATAGAATACTCCTAAATTCCTGTGTAGAGTTTAAAAAGAAAGAAAAAAGCCTAATATAAAAAAAGCACTTTTCTTCAGAACCAAAATAAGAATAATTCTAGTTTCTTATTTGGTATTGCAATTTGCCACTCATTGTTTTATTTATTATAACAATCTGATAGGAGGAAATGTTACTTTCCCAATTTTCAGGTGGTCGAATTGTTTGTATGAGGACACAGATTTACTAAGGAGATGACCAGAGTAAAGACAAAGATCTCATGTTCAGAGTTTGTCTGATGAATCTACATTTCTCTATAATAGTCAATTTCCAAGAGAAGTTGGGTAGCCGAGTCCCTAAGATCTTCATGCACAGTGAACATATTCCCTCCCCCCCTTTTTTTTTTACCACTATGTCTCTGCAGGGACCAGAACGTCAAGAAATTTTGTCTCTCCAAAGATGGACAAGTCCCTGGAGTTGGCCAACATGTCAAGAGTCCAGCAATTTGTCTTGCTGGGTTTGTCCACAAGGCCAGACATAAGAGATGTCCTGTTTGCCATCTTCCTGACCCTCTATCTGCTGACCCTCTTGGAGAACACACTCATCCTCTATCTCATCTGCAGTCACAGTGAGCTCCACAAGCCCATGTACTTCTTCCTGGGCAACCTGAGCTGCCTGGAGATGTGCTACGTGTCAGTGACCATGCCCAGCCTGCTGGTGGGGCTGTGGACTGGGCCCTACAATATCTCCTTCACAGCCTGCATGACCCAACTCTTCTTCTTCATAGTCCTCATCGGCACAGAGTGCACCCTCCTGGCCTCCATGGCCTATGACCGCTATGTGGCCATCTGCCGCCCACTCCACTATCTGCTCCTCATGAGGCCCCAGGTCTGCCTGAGCTTAGCTTTGTCCTCATGGCTTGGTGGGCTCCTGGTCTCAGTGGCCAAGACAACATGCATTGCCACCTTGTCCTACTGTGGCCCCAATGTTCTCAACCAATTTTTCTGTGATGTCTCCCCTCTGCTCAACCTATCTTGCACCCACGTGGCCCTGACAGAGCTGGTGGACTTCATCTCTGCCATTGTCATCTTCTGTGGAACACTGCTGGTAGCTCTGGCCTCCTACTCAGCCATTGGGGTGGCTGTGCTCCGCATGCCTTCAGCTGCTGCCCGACGTAAGGCCTTCTCCACCTGTGCCTCCCACCTGGTTGTGGTGGGCATCTTCTACTCAGCAGCCCTCTTCATCTACTGTCGCCCCAGCCGTATCAAATCCATGGACCTAAACAAGGTGCTGTCAGTCATCTACGCAGTGGTCACACCCATGTGCAACCCCATCATCTACTGCCTGCGAAACAAGGAGGTCCATGCAGCGCTGCGGAAAACTCTCCACTGGCCTTGATCCTGGTCTTGGGAAGTTAGACCCCTTATCTTCTGATTGAAAATTTTTCATGGCCCCCAAAACACCATAAATAAAATTGAAAGGCAAGTGAAATACCAGAGAAATATATTTTCCAGCTAATCTACAGTAAATTCCTATCAATGAATAACAAAATCTTAGCTACCCAAGATAAATGTGAACAATGTCCATGAGAAAGCAAGTCATCAAGGATGAATGATGAATGACTGATAACTCACATGACAAGATGTTTAACTTTATTAGTACACCAAGGAATGCAAATTTAACAATTCAATTACTTTTATTTCTCTAAAATTGACAAGTATTTCACAAATGTGTCTATATGATCCCACAAGTAGAGGTAGATAACGTACAAGGGCATTCATTGCATCTTTGTAATGAAAAAAGATCAGAAACAACCTACATGTCCATCCAGCACATGGGTTAACTGTATTACAGTACATTCATTCCAATAAACATTGGACTGTTAAAAAGAAACAGACTTGTGTGTCTTGACTTGGAAATTTGGCAAGGATATATGTTAAATAAAAGATCAAATAAAACATTGTATGAAATTCTTTCATCTTGTATTTTTTGTTAACCTTCAATTTTGATATAATTTCAAACTTACAGAAAAATTTCAAGAGTATATTGAGGCAGAAGGCCCTCTCCTGTGATCTTCAGATGCCTTAAAGCTTCTCAGAGCAAATTATGAACATGCATTTGCATGTTAACCTGCTCCCCAAAACCCAGAATTGATCAACTGACAGCAGGAGCAGTTTCTAATTCATCTTCATGCCTCAGGCTCCAAGCACAAGACGAGACATTTGGGAAGAAATAAGTCAATGAATGATGGCCTGAGGCTCCTCCTCTCCTTAAGCCTCTGCAGAGCATCAATAAAAAAGTTTTACACTTCACCACTTCTCCAAATCCACAGAGACCACGGGAGGTCTCTGAGGTCAAGAGCTCCAGTAAGCCTGCCTCCCTGCCTCGTTCTCACTGTGAGGATAGTCAACTCAGTAACTCAGAGCATCTAGAACAGCAGAGAGAAACAAGGGTGGGGTGGATGCCTCTTTCAGGACCTGGAACAGCTCCTTCCAAAGTGGACTGAAAAGCAATTCCTCCATTCCTTGGCATCTCCTCCTCTGAGCAGACGCCCAATCGACGTGGGCATCAGAGCCTTCTCCACGTGCAGCATCAGCAGGAAGGATCTGTACCTGGTGTCCTTCAGCCATCAGGTGAGGACACAAATTCTTTGGGGGTGAAGATAAGGAACAGCAGGAAGAATTTCTTTTATAGAATACTCAAGGAATATCTGGTACCAACTCTAAATACTATCGATATTAACTGATTTAGCCCCCAGAAGTAGTTGTTATATCACTATAGACTATATTAATACACTCTACTAGAGATTAACACATCTCTAGGCATAGATAGGTCAAATGGCTTCTTGAATACAATACAATTAGTAAGGGAGAGACATCCTTACTCATGTTTATCTGACTTCAAAGTCCTTGCTTTTAATCAGTCTGTTCTACCATCTGGAAGGATCTGGTATTTGGTAGCTACTATTATATAGAATTGATTAATTCTAAGGAAAGAACAATTACTCCAGCATTACAGGTTAGGCAAAGGAGGCTTAAATGAATTCAGTGGCTTTGTTTTCATCATGCCACTTGAAACATTTGAAAATTATCAGTGTGCAAACAGTTGGATGCCATAACCCTGGTTCATTCATGTCCACCACTCCTGGAACATTGCTTCTTTTTACAAAGCCCTTACTTGAAAAATCTTTGTGGAATGGAGTGGAATTAAAGACTTCTATCAGACCAAAGTCTGTTTTTCCATGAGAGAAATTTTGAGTTTCACTTAGGGCAATAAGATTCAAACCCACTTCTGTATAACTCTGAGCCCAAGATTTGACCCTGACACTATATTGCCCTTCCTTAAACAGAAAAGGAACTGTATATTTCAAGGTAGGAATGACTTTCTCTATACTTGAATAATACACATCTGAAGCATGAAGAGGTTAAGTTAAAGCCTACTCAAGATAATAGAGCTAGTGTCTCATATTCTTCTATGAGATGGTTAGTCAGGTGTGGCCACAAGAGAAGACAGAGTAGAGGCTCAGTAAAAAACAAAGTTTTATACTCACAGTTCCTAGAGACAAGAGGATCACTATGCAAGGTCACGTGGGAAAGACACCAGGGAGGTCAGAATCCAGAAGATGCTTGGGCCACTACCTTTATTTCGGTTTCTGAGGGAAAAGCAAGGGAGGATAGAGCAAATAACTTGGACTGGCTAGTTTGTATAATTTCAGCAGGCTTTGGGCTATAGGGTTGGTCCCTAGTTGCCTGGCACTTGGCCATGGGGTGACTCAGGCAGAGGAATATTGCCTCCTGGGGTGCAAGGGACAGATAGAGGAGGTCTGGTTCTAGATTGGTTAGTTTGCATATCAAAGGCATGTTCCTGGTTGACTTTTTTGCTATCTCTAAAAATTGTCTAGCCCAGGGAGGGGCAGTCTCTCTCCAGCCAGAAAAGTTTCTTAAGGTGTCAAAACATCATAATATACAGAAGAAAATATACAAAATATAGTTAGAAAGCATCGTGGTCCCAATTCCTCTAGGGAGCAGAAACAAGCTCTTATTCACCACTATATCACCTTTGAAACTAGCACAGCTGTTGGCAAATAATTCATGAATTACCAATGTTTTTGAGATAGAATAGCCTTTGAATATTCTGGTTCTGAACTTCAGGATGCTTCTGTGACCCTTTGGGGGTGCACATATTGGTTCCTCTACAGATTATTGAGCGATATCTCAGTATATTTGACATCCTCAGTCAGGAATGGTAACTCAGAAAAGGATTCGTGGAGGAGATGGTTGTTGAGTGGATATGGATGGGAGGAGAATGATCAGAGGCAGAACCAGGAAGGAGACTGAGCAAGGAATCTCAGGGGAAGGGAAGGGTGGAAGGAGAAGGGAGGATGAGCAGTTCTTCTCCAGAACAAACGAGAGCTCCACCATCCAGAGCTCGACCTAGGAGGACTCCAATATTGATGACAACACCACTTGAAGAACCATAAACGGTTTAGGTGAGGGGTCTTGTTTAAGATTGCAGAGAGAGTGGCTCCAAGCAGCCAAATACAATTTCATAAAGAGCCCGGGTTCAGCACCAAGGACAGCCCCACCAAACAGGACTGATGTTCAGCTGTGAGGAGTCCTTGATCGGGAGAAAGAATAGATTCAACCCCTAGGACTGACATTGGTGTGAACTTTGATAAAAGTCTGAAACTTTATAGCCGCTAACTATATATGTGGCTATATTTTTTATTTAATCCTCACAATAACTCCATGAGGAAAACTGGCAATATCCCCACTGTACTGATTTGGAAACTGAGGCTCAGAAAGATCAGGGAGTCCAAAGTCACATCACTAGGATGAAGTATAGCTGAGCTTTTCTTGGACTGATGTGTGACTCCATAGCCTACAAAAAAGAACAGTAATTGGACTTACATCCAGGAAATATTTGTTGGAGTGCAAGTTCTACTACATGGTTGGGAAAACTTACATTGCTGGATTCACATCTCTGACATCAGTTCCCCAGCCCGACAATAAATGCAGTAATGTATGTACCAGATTAAGTTAGCTCATATTCCTTACTCTTTCCCTGGAACTTTAAGATCAAACACTTCCTAACCTTTACACATCTGGCTTCTCAGAAAACTGATTCTCTGTAACTAGAAAAAAAGTGATAACAACAAAACCTTTCCTGCATGAAGTTCCTCAGGATTTCCTCTTATATAACTTGGAAGAATCTCTCTCAAAACCCCTTTCATCCCTAACATTCTAGTGCACAGTAGGCATCTTTCTTATGAAAAATTGGCACACTGGGGCTGGCCCTGTGGCCAAGTGGTTAAGTTCATGCTCTTACTTCTCTGAGGTGGATTCCTCATCTGCAGAATTGGGGTGATAATAGCGGCCTCATAGAGGTTCTGTGACTTCTAAGGATCTATACTATGGCAAAAGATCAAAAGCTTTTAGCACACCTGGCACTTAGGAAGAGCTGAATACATAGTAATCATTATGACTACTAGTCCCACCATTATTATTTGTTTGCCATTTAGAATACTAGAATCAGATGTTTATAATAATCAGGAAGAGTGAACAGAGTGCAAGGATTAGAATGATTCTAAGTTTTTTCCTTTATTTGCCATTTAACTTTGAGCCACTAACTTTGACTTTCTGAATCTGTCATCCTTCTTACCCAGTAATGGTAGCAATAGCTTTTTTTTTTATAGTATATTTGAGAGAATAAAATAACATGCCAAATTCTTGCAAGAGTGCCTGGAACATTATATTGAAGAAGGGACTTAAAATTCTCCAGTGTTTGCTTCACTGTTAATTGCGGCAAATGACTGCAAAAATCCTACATTCCCAAGGCTTTATGTGCACTGGCCCTTGGACGCCCCTACATTCTCATCTCCTTTCTGATATTCTTGCTTCTAAGCAAAGCCCCAAGGACCTCCTCATGATTCATGGAATATGCTATTCCTTCTCACCAAAGACCTTTGCACTTGCTATTCCCTCTGTGTACAATTCTGTTTGCCTCAACTCTGTGCATTTCTGGACCCCTCTCATCTTCCAAGTCTCTATTCAAATATCATCTCCTCAGGGTCACTTCCCTCGTGGCCTGAATTAATGTAGCCAGTGCCACCTCCACCTTCTCACTCTCTGGAATCAAGCTGAAATTTAGAGTTTGTTTAATAAAGTCTGTTCCCATCTATACACATTGAACTTCATTGGAATAGGCATATTCCAACTGATGGACCAGCACAGCCTTTTCTCCATTAGATGGTGTTAGATGTTCTATTTCACCAGAGTTTTTGTGAAGAAGAAATGAGTTAATACATGGACATTCTTAGAACTGGGGCTGGCATACAGTAGGTGCTCAATAAATATTGGAAAATATTCCCGCAGGCATCAGCATTTGTTAAATGAATCCAAAGCCCTCATGCCCTCCATGGATGCACATTACATATAGGGTGAAGCCCAAATGCACTAGCCTTGTGTTCAAGCTCTTTTCACGTGTATCCTTACATTGACCCATTTACTTTCATCAAAACAAAATCAATGTACCAGGCACTGAGCAGGGATCTGGAGATTAATAGGCAAATCAGACCTTCTATGATCTTTATGATGTCTCGGGAGGACAGTGGAGATCCCTAGCATGGAACTACAGTTATGTTGCATCCATACAAGGAACTATTCTGCACCTATTAAAACAGAAAATGTCATCTCCATACAGATATGGAATTAATTTCAAGATATATTATTAACAAAAATTTTGAGGTGCAGAAAGTATGTCCAGTATGTTACCCTTTATGATTAGCGAGACCCATATACCTACACAGGAGAGTGTTCCCAAGAACCATTTCTTGAGGTCCACCCAAGAAACTGGTTTGGTGGTTTTCTTGTGGGGAGGGCTAATGGACAAGGATGAGAGCGACATTTACTTGAATGTTTTTTGTTACCTGTAAATGTATTATCTTATAAGATAAGACGTAAAATAAAATGCCTTTTACTTACAAGAATGCAGAGACAGAGAGAGATTTCTATTCTCTCTTTTCTATAGAGGAAAATTGAATGGGAGGCTGTCAGATCATCTAAGGGTCTTCTACACAAACCTGGTGGCTGAATCTTGACATCATCAGCCTGGATGTTGGTCCAGGGGAGAATCGCCAGGTGTAATCATGTATTTTCCTTTGATGGAGCAACTTGGTGTTGTGCAAAATAGTGACCATTACAGAGAGTGGCCTGGAAGCCTTGGTCCATGAGAAACTGATGTTGTCTCTCTTTCTCACAAGAAGTCAGCTCCCCACAGGTGGTCTCTGTATGCTCACTCATGTATTCTCAGTGCCTAGCATATAAGGGGAAGCTCAATAAATGTCATTGAATGAATCCTGTGAATGATATCTGATAGTCAGAAGGACTGTCTAGTTGACTTATTTGCCAGCTCTCTGCTCTTCATGTCTCAGATGTAGAAGACTTTTCTGCCTCCCTGGGCTTGATTGTGACAATGTGGTGCAAAGGAATTGGCACAGCACCAAAGTTTGACCCAGCTGTGTTTCCTTCCCAGTCCTGTCATTTCCCAGCTGAGTGATCTTGGGCAAGTGAATTTAGCTATCTGCACCCTATACCTGCCCTTTGGCACAGAACCAGAAATAGAACAAGGTGGTTTTTTGGCAGGTTACTCACTCACAGTAGGGGCTCAATGAATCATAAAAGTTTTCATGATTAGATTGAGTGCCCCAGTTTACCTCAATAATTTCTTCTGCGGGCCTTAACTTTCTCAGATACAACAGTGTGGAAATAACATAAGTATACATATACGTGTATATGATCACAGAGATTGAATACAATAAATGACATTTCCAAACCTCTGCTGAAAGGTGTGTCAATTTTTGTGGGAATCCCTCTGTGATTCAGAGAGGAAACTGCCCCTTTGTCTTTCTTGAGTATTGTACTTGGTGAACCACAGCATAATATAATTCTAGAAAATAAAATTACGTAAGAGCAGAGGAACACGTTTACAGGAGAGAGACGACAGTCTGGCTCTATTCCAGATTTACAGAACACTCATAAATTCCTGTGTAGAGCATAAAGGAATGGAAAAATTTATTTAAAAAGAAAATTTTCTTCAGAACTCAAACAACAGCTCTAATTTCTTATTTGGTACAGCAGTTTGCCGTCCTTTGCTTCGCTTATATTATTATAACAACCTCATGGGAGGCAAATGTTAGCCTCCCAATTTTCAGGTGGTGGAGTTGTTTGTATGAAGATGTAGCTTTACTAAGAATAGCCGGAGTAACCAAGACATTCGCTCTCATGTTCAGAGTTTATCTCATGAATCTACATCGTCTGTCTATTTAACACTCAATTTCCGACAGAAGCAGGGCTAGAAAATTCACTAGAGTCTCCAGGCACTGTAACATCCTACTGATAGTTTTTTTTACTAGTGTGTCCCTCCAGGAACCAGAATGTGAACAAACTTTATTTGTCTCTCTGCAGATGGAGAGGTCCCTGGAGTTGGCCAACATGACAAGAGTCCAGCAATTTGTCTTGCTGGGTTTGTCCACAAGGCCAGACATAAGGGATGTCCTGTTTGCCATCTTCCTGACTCTCTACCTGCTCATCCTCCTGGAGAACACACTCATCATCTATCTCATCTGCAGTCACAGGGAGCTCCACAAGCCCATGTACTTCTTCCTGGGCAACCTGAGCTACCTGGAGATGTGCTACGTGTCAGTGACCATGCCCAGCCTGCTGGTGGGGCTGTGGACTGGGCCCTACAATATCTCCTTCACAGCCTGCATGACCCAACTCTTCTTCTTCGTCTCCCTTATCTGTACGGAGTGCACCCTCCTGGCCTCCATGGCCTATGACTGCTATGTGGCCATCTGCCGCCCACTCCACTATCTGCTGCTCATGAGGCCCCAGGTCTGCCTGAGTTTAGCTTCGTCCTCATGGCTTGGTGGACTGATGGTCTCAGCAGTCAAGACAACATGCGTTGCCACCTTGTCCTATTGTGGCCCCAATGTCCTCAACCAATTTTTCTGTGATGTCTCCCCTCTGCTCAACCTATCTTGCACCCACGTGGCCCTGACAGAGCTGGTGGACTTCATCTCTGCCATTGTCATCTTCTGTGGAACACTGCTGGTAGCTCTGGCCTCCTACTCAGCCATTGGGGTGGCTGTGCTCCGCATGCCTTCAGCTGCTGCCCGACGTAAGGCCTTCTCCACCTGTGCCTCCCACCTGGTTGTGGTGGGCATCTTCTACTCAGCAGCCCTCTTCATCTACTGTCGCCCCAGCCGTATCAAATCCATGGACCTAAACAAAGTGCTGTCAGTCATCTACACAGTGGTCACACCCATGTGCAACCCCATCATCTACTGCCTGCGAAACAAGGAGGTCCATGCAGCGCTGCGGAAAACTCTCCACTGGCCTTGATCCTGGTCTTGGATAATTGGACCTCTCATCTCTGGACTGAAAATCTTTCATGGCCATGAAACACCATAAATAATGTTGAAAGGCAAATGAAAAACTGAAGAAATATATTTCCCACCTAATATACAATGAGTTCATATCAATCAATAACAAAATCTGAATTACCCATGAGAAGACTGAGCAATATCCATGAGGAAGCAAGTTATCAAAGATGAACGGTAACTTCATGACAAGATGCTCGACTTTGATAGTGAAGCAAGAAATCCAACTCTAACAATCCCATCATCTTATTCCTAGAAGACTGACAAATGTTGACCAAATGTGTCTGTATGTTCCCACAAGGAGAGATAGAAAACATGTACAAGGATGTTTACTGAATCTTTGTAACGAAAAAAAATCAGAAGCAATCTGTATGTCCATCAAAAGTGAATGGCTTAAATACCTTATATTACATGCATTCTGAGATAAACATTGGGCTATGAAATAAAAAGAAATACATTTTTATGTTTGATGTGGAAATATGGGTGAGATATACATATTAAATAAAAAATCAAGATGAATAACTATGGATTTCTTTAGTTTTATTTTTGGTTTGTTGACTTTGAATTTTGATATAATTTCAGACTTACAGAAAGTTTCAGGAACACATCAAACTCTGATACACCTTTTATGTATTATCACAAACCATTTATATTTTGCCTCATTTGTTTATTGTATTCTGTCTTTCTATCTCTCTGTCTCTCTCACACACAATTATTTCTTATTTTTTCTAAATTATTTGAGAGTGGATTAGAGATATTGTGCCCCTTCGCTCACATAAGCTTTAGTGTATATTTCCTAAGAACAAGAACATTATTTTAGAATTTGGGACTCAGGAAAATAACTGATGAATTTCTAACCCATACTTCTTTGAAATCAGCCCTACTAACTAGAGCTCAGTGTTTGTTTTTACCTCTTTTTAAAATTTATATAAAGTGAAATGCACAAATCTTAGATGTTAAATTCAACATATTTTGAAGGATGCATATACCCACACCCTTATTAATGTACAGGGCATTTATTACATATTATTTATTTTATCATGCCCTTTCTCTGTAAATTCTACTTCCAGGGGTAATCACTGTTCCGATTTTTCCATAGGTTAGTTCTTGCCTGTTCTAGAACTTCATATAAACGGAGTCCAGAGTATATATTCTTTTGTGTATGACCTCTTTTGATCAGTATAATATGAGACATCCATATTTTTGTGTGTATCAGTTCACCCTTTTTTATTGCTATGTAGCATTCTGATGTATAATATATCACATTTGTTTATCCTTCACCTGTTGATGGAAGTTTGAGTTCTTTGTTGTTTTCAGCAATTATGAATAAAGCTGCTACGATCATTTGTCTACAAGTCTTTTGTGGACATGTCTTCATTTCTCTTGGATAAATACCTCACAGTAGAATTACTGGGTCGAGAGATAGGTGTGTGTTTAACATTGTAAGAAACTATCAAAACATATCTTTAAGTATGTATACAGTTTTATATCCTCATCAGCACTGTATGAGAGTTCTGGTTGCTCCACATTCTCATCAACATTTAATGTTGTCAATCCTTAATTTTAGCCATTCTAGTAGGTGTGTAAGGATATCTCATTGTGGTTTTAATTTTCATTTCTCTCATGCCCAGGGTTATTGAACAATTTCTCATGTACTTATGGGTCATTAGTGTATTTTTTTCTATTGAGTTGTAGGAGTTCTTTATATATTCTTCATGTATGCCCTTGGTAATGTAAATGTTTTATTAATATTTTTTCCAATCTGTGGCTTACCTATCTATTTTCTTAATAGTGCCTTTTAATAAACGGAAGCTATAAATTTTGGTGAAGTCTGAATGATCAATATTTAAATGTGCAATGATTGTTTTTTGCATCCTAGGAAAAGTTTTCCATTTCCTGGTCACAAATATAGTCCTGGTTTTCTCCTTTATGGTTTATAGTTTTTGATATTTCACTTGTGTGTATAATGCAACTCAAAATAATTTTTATGTATGGTGGACCCAGTTTTACCACATGGTTGTTGAAAAGACTCTTCTATTGAATTTCATTGACATTTTTGTAAAAAATCAGGTTGAGCATACAAAAGTGGGTCTATTTCTAAGCTCTTTATTTTACTCTCCATGGATCTATTTGTTTATTATTTTACTAATGTGACATTGTCTTGGTTATTGTAGCACCATTGCAAGTATTAAAGTCAGGAATTTCGAGGTCTCCAAATAGTTTCAAGTCCTCAAGATAGTTTGAAATAGAACTATCTTGAAGGCTCAAAGGTTTTTTGCATTCTGTATAAGTTTTAGAACCAGCTATTTATTTCTATAAAAAAAATCCTGCTTAGATTATGACTACATTGAATGTAGAGATCAGTTTGGGGAGAATTGACACTTTAAACAATACTGAATCTTCCGACCCAGGAATATGGTATGCCTTTCCATTTATTTAGCATTTTAAATCTTTCTGTCAGCAATGTTTTAGACTTTTCACTGTGGGGGTCATGCATGTTTTTCATTAGATTTATTCCCATGTATTTACTGGTTTTGGTGCTATAGTATATTTAATTGTTTTGTAAATTTTATTTTCCAATTGTTACATCTAGTATTTAGAAACAAAACTGATTTCTGTGTATTTTTCTTGTATCCTACAATCTTGACAAGCTCATGAGTTAGCTCTAATATGTGTTTCATAGATTCCTTAGGATTTTCTACGTAAAGTCATGTTATCTGCAAATAATGATAGTTTTCCTTCTCCATTTCCAATTTTTATACCTTTTATTTCTCTCTCCTTGCATTATTGTGTATTTTATACCTCCACACCTATGAACTGCACATACATGATGCTGAGCGTGTTCCTGTGAGGCTTCTCCTGCTGTGATGTTAAAAGTACCCCTGATCATGTTGAAAGACATACTTGACATAGATTGGAGATGAAACGCTTTCCAGTTACACCCATGTGGAGCTCATCAAAGTCTCTAGCAGTAAGAGGTGAGTCTAAAGGGACCTTGAAGGGCAACACAAGCAGTGTGCAATATAGTACTGTAACAAATTACCCCAAATCAAAGCATCTCAACATGACCAAGGTTTATTTCTCACTTGCATCATAAATCAGTGCAGCTTGAGAAGAGGTGCTATATTCTCTGCATTTTTCCAGGACCCCAAAGTTCTTTCTTATAGCAATTGTTATCCTCTAGAATCTTGGAGTTCTCTATTTAATATTTTCTCTCCAGACAAGTAAAGAGAGAGGGAGAAAATGAGAATGAGGCATCATCCAAGGTTTGAAGGGCCAGGCCTGGCATTTATATACATCATTACTGCCCACACTTCATTGGCCAGGATTTAGTCACGTGGACATAGTGGTATGCAAAGGATGCTTGGAGATGTAATTTACCAGCATGCCAAGGAGGAAGAAGTCTCCTGATTCTGCCACATCACTGATAAGCACACAAATGCATATTAAAACAATGATGTCATTTTTCATCTGAGTTGTAAAAAATTGAAAAAAATCAGGAAAATAAGTATAGTTAAGGGAGTATAAAGCAATCATTCTCAGATGTCTTCTATGGGAATGTAAATCAGTGCCATATTTTCAGATGGCAATTTTGTAATACATATAAAAAGTTTAAATGCATATTGACCCATTAATTCTACTTCCTTAAATGAATCTTACGGGTATACTCCTATATATGGGAAAAGAGAAGTGTGCCAGGATATCTACTGCAGCAATGTTTGTAGTAGCAAAATTGGAAAACTATGCAAATATTTATTAATAAAGGACTTTTAAAATTCATTATAATCCGTTCCTTGGAGACTTGACATCGGGTCATCCTTCTCCTAGACTCTTATTCCCTCCACCACTACCTTTGCATTAGATATCCCTATGTGATTCGTGATCAAGTATTCCAAAGTCAAAACAACTCACATTAAAGAAAAACCTGCTAAGAATCAGGGTCCAGGTCTTAGGCTTTTCCTGACAAATCAACAAACATTCTGTTGAAAAAAATAGGGAAAAAGAAGACAGAGTCTCTTCTCCATTGAGGTCACAGTTTCATGGTAAGAGAAAAAAGTAAGTAAGTAGTTACAATCAAGGTAATAAGAGCTATATTAGTGTCAGGAGCCACACAATTTTTAGAGTTGAGGTAAAAATCTATTAATATTCATTGATTGCTCAATGTGTATCCATTACTGTGCTAGATCTGTACACATCTCTATAAATTTAATTTTTACATCATCTCTAAGAAGTGTATGTCATCTCCATTTTAAAGGTTTTAATAATAGCAATAGCTACTACTTACTGAGCACCTAATAGGTACGAAGATTTGTGAAAGATGAATTGAATAGTTTACGGCATTGAATAGTTTAATCTTCATGAAACTCTTCCAGGTGAGCATCATCATCACCAATTTATAAATGGAAACACAGAGACTCAGAGGAGCCACAGTCATGCAGCCTTTGAATTACAAATAAGGAATTGCATTTCAGGTCATCATGCTCCAAATTGCCAGGACATTTCTGCAGCTCGGTTTGGAGTTGAGGCATTCAACTGAATTTCTGGGTAACTGCTGGGGATCATGCCATTTCCACTCCAGCACACTGCTCTCTCTACGGGGGAAAAAGATTAGTTCTTGGTGTCTGGAAAAGGAAGAAGTGGGTGAAACCTTAACTAAGTAGGTTCAATTGAGCTTGAGGGATGAATTAAATTTCATTCAGATAGGAAGGGAAAGGGCCGTCTTGGCAGAAGAACTGTGTGGGCACAAGATGCACTGTTTTGTGTATGTGTGTATGAGTATAGGAATAGGCATGTAATATTAAAGTATTTTAACATTGATTCTCTCAAAAGATGGGAGGGGCAGACATACTGGAGAGGATTTGGGTCATGCCGTTAGCTCAGAAATATTCTGTATTGTTTACTGACTGCAGCATAGTGTAGTGATGGTTTTACTGTTCCTGAAAAGTGCTATGCTAGAATTATGTGTACATTTCTCTTAAATCTATCTATTTTATTTGATTTCACAAAAGGGAAAAAGAAAATGAATAAAATTTAATTTGATAGTGCTCTCTCCAAATTTTCATCGGGCATTGGGTAGAAATAGGGACAATACCTATTTGGTGGAGACTCTAAGGCTTAGAGAGGAAAAGATATGTTGCGTGCATGGAATGCCTAATGTTGAATGTTGACTTACAGGGCTAAAATATCCAGCAGGTAGTGAGGAAATGATATTTTAATTGTGTATATTAGCTGGGAGAATATTCTATCTACCTCTTTCTCGTGTTATATCGAACAGAGGTAAACGTGTAACACTTCTCAGGGACTGAGCTCAGACACCCCACCTACAATGTCTTCCCAAATCTCCAGGTTCCCCTCCTCCGAACACACACAGGTTTCTCATCTCTTACTATAATATGTTATAAATGTCTGTTTTGGGATCAATAGACTACAGCATTCTGGGAGCAACTTGATAACAGGAATTACTCTTCATTCAGCTTTGTAATCCCAGTGTCCAACACATAT